TGTATCCAAGGTCTTCCGAGCAGGGCGTTGTACCTCATATCGCCCTTGATAACACAGAACTTGGTCGCTTTTGTAACTCCGCCCACGTCGATCATCAGAGTTATTTCCCCTCGTGTTGTCTCCGTAGCCATATTAAATCCATTCAATACTCTCACCTCAGAAATTATCTGCCCTGTCAGTCCCAACTGTTCGACGACCCATGACCGAATTATGTTAGCCGAGCTTCCGGGATCGACCAAGACACGCTTGACTTTAGTGTCTCGGACCATCATGGATATTACCAAAGCGTCGTTATGGGGTTGTGCTGGTCCATCGATTTCCTCGTTGCTAAAACACAGTGTTCCCTCTGGTACATAATCCCTGATCCGCTTCTCCCTTGTGATCGATATCTTGGTACGTTTCAGTATTGGTACTTGAGGTGCGTCTTCCCCTCCAATTATCATGTTTATGGTGTGCCGGGGTTCCTTCCTATCGGCTGGTCGATCTCGATTTTCGTAATGATTTTTGGCCCGATCACTGAGAAATTCTCGAAGGTAACCTTCATCGAGCAACCGGGCGACTTCCTCCCGCAGTTGCCTGCAATCTTCGGTTCTGTGGCCATGTGTGTTGTGGTACTTACATATTAACTTGGGATCCCTCCTCGATGGATCGGACTGTACGGGTTTGGGCCATCGGGCTTCTTTGATACGTCCGATCGCCGACACCAGGGTAGCCGAATCGACACTGAAATTATATTCAGCTAATCGGGGTGCTTCCTGTCTATCGACGGCTTTCCCGAGGTTGGCCTTCGGTAACGGTCTTCTGTTCCTCTCATAGCCGCGATCGTTCCTCGTAAATTTAGGCCTCCTATCATCCTGATACGGCCGATATCTTTCCTTGTTCGGTCTTGAATCTTTGTAGTTTTCCCTACGAGGTCGATCGAAATTCCTATGTGTGGATGGTGAATCCGAACTCGCTCCACTGTGGTCGTCCTCTACCCTTATCTTCGATTGGTACCGGTTATGGATGTCTGCCCACGTAACTGCTGGAAACTCGATCAGGCTTTGCTTTAATTGCCTGGATGCGGCTGAGCTATTGGCGTTCAATCCTTGAGTGAAGGCTTGTACTGCCCAGTCATCCGTGACTGGGGGAAGATCCATCCTCTCCATTTGAAATCGAGACACGAATTCCCGGAGTGTCTCGTTTATGCGCTGTCGGACCTTGAATAGGTCGGATTTCCTTGTTTCTACCCTGATCGCCCCGGCGTGAGCTTTCACGAAGGCATCGGCTAACATGGCGAACGAATCGATGGAATTTGGCGGTAAGTTATGATACCACGTCATTGCCCCCTTGGACAAGGTTTCTCCGAACTTTTTCAACAAAACTGACTCGATTTCATCATCTTCGAGATCGTTTCCCTTAATCGCGCATGTGTATGCTGTCACATGCTCGTTTGGGTCCGAGGTCCCATTATACTTCGGGATATCGGGCATTCTAAATTTCTTAGGGATAGGTTTTGGGGCGGCACTGGATGGGAACGGTTTTTGTACAAACTTTTTAGCGTCAAGGCCCTTCAGGACCGGAGGTGCACCTGGTATTTGGTCGACCCTGGAGTTGTATGTTTCTACTTTTTTATTGTTGGCCTCGATCTTTTCCTCTCCCTTTTCGATTCGTTCGGTCAGTTCTTCTAGCCTCCTAAGAACCGCAGAATCAGCATCCGGCCCACCCCGTTCCGGCTGTACTGGGGTCGGATTGATGATTGCGGCTGCACGGGGAGCCTCCTCGGACCTGACAGGCTCCTGGACCCGGCTCTGGAGCTGATAGCCGATTGCTGGGCTTGCAGCATGTCAAAAATCATTTTAAGGTTGATAGTCTCTTCGCCGACTGCCTGGGCCCTCGAATCGTCCTCTCCCCGGACGCTACTGTGATGATCCGGTAGGCCGTGATCCAGTGT